CCTGCTCGGTGGGGAGTCTGCTTCTCCCTCTGACCCTCGCCCCTCTCATGCTCTCTCTATCTCATTCTCTCTCTCAAGTAAATGAATGGAGTCTTAAAAAAAATAATAATAAATAAGTTGAAGTCTAAAAAAAAAAGAAGCTTTCTAAATAAATTTATGGAATAGTTAATACCTCCCCCTTATTCCAACCCGTATCTTTTTCTTAGAGAGTTAATCATGGCCCCAAGCTGCCTCCATGTGCCCCAGCATCCCCTAGCGAACATCACCCCACCAGTGCCTTTAGCTGTGTACTTCTCATGATGGGACACGATTCATCCTCCAGATTCCTGCAGCAGACTTTCCTCTAGGAAATTTACCCCCTTGCTGTGGCTCTGTGCACAGCGTAAATGCTGCGGATCGGGCAGAACGGCTGGCTGTGTGAGCAGAGGCGGCGGCGGCCGCTTGGCACAGCGTCCAGATGCCTCACACAAGCCTCAGCCCTACCAGTTAATTATTGGCCCTCTCATAGCGTGTTGCATCTGAGGTGGCACTTCATAAATGTCACCTCATTTATCTTCCCAATGCCCCTCAGAGGCAGGGAATCCCATAAAATCCACCCAGGAAGCATTGGTGGTTCTTAAGTGGTCATCCCCCCAGGTGGTTCTGAGGCATCAAGGAGGGAGGCCTGTTGAGAGGTTTCACATTTTCCCTTATTCTGGAACTTCAGCTGTTTGGGGCTGGGTCCATGATTCATTCCACATTTAGTGTTCCCTGTGCAGAGCACTGGGGCAAATGACCTTAAAAGCCACTCACCGTGAGGGAGCCCCCACGGAGCTGGAGAGACAGAGAAAGGATACCCAGTTGGTGACCCAGAAGGCTTCCTGGGGGAGGTGTGACTGGGACTAACTCAGAAGCAGGAGGAGGCAGCCAGGGGAGGAAGTAGAGGAAGGCAGGCTGAGGAAAGACACTCAACCAGGAGAGGTTGGGGCGAGGCTGGGAGCTGGAGAGGAGAGTGGTGAGGCTACATTAGGAATCACAGGCCAAGTCACAGTGGCCCCTCTTCATGTGTTGTCTGGGGAGTCTCAGCTTGATCCTCAAGTTGATGGAGATCTAGTTTCAAGATTTAGATAGCAAGGTTTCCACCTATTCCTTCACTGACTCCGCTCCATCTCCACCCCCTAAAACACACAGACACCCTTTTCCCCTAGTGCAGCTACTTAAAACAAAGGCCTGACATTTTGTCATTTTTCCTCCCATTGCTTTTATTGTGGTAAATATATATAACATAAAATTTACCGTCTTTAACATTTTTCAGTGTACAGCCCAGTGGTCGTAAATATGTTCCACCTCCCAGGGCAAAGGTTCGTGGCCTGAGCCAGCTTCCCCAACCCTTCTGAACAGACCTCCAGCCGATGCACAGCGATTCATCCTGAACGTGCTGGCCAGGCACTCTCTTTCTCATTGGCATTTTTGTTTTGTATGTCAAGCACTTACTAGGCTAACTAATGAGACTCTCCCACTAGGATTTTCTGAATATTTCAGAAATTATTCAGATGATTTGGACCTGCCTAGAGTATATTCTCAGACATCTGTCTTCTATTATAGATTTTCTGGACCCAGAATGAAACAGATATCCCGAGGAGCTGGGGGTGGGGGGCGGTGGGGGCAGGACAGGCACTTTTTTAATGTCAGGGAAGTTGAAAATAAATGAGTATACAGATTACTTCTAAGATTCCTTTCAACCTCACTCACCAAAGCGGTGGGTTTTTTTCCAGTTCTTCCAAATTACTGAGCACTCACACGTAGATCCAGAGGGTCCCCAGCAACCCCAAGGAAGCCCGAGTTTTTCTTGTTAGTGTGCCATATTTTGAATATGAATACTGCCCATCAAATGGTTTTATATCTAGTGCCCTGCCCTACTTCTGCCAGAAATAAAATCTGAAGAGGTGGCTTCTATTTGAAAATTTTTAGAGTCTACTAAGACTATCCAGAAAAAAAAAGGGGCCCTGGCAACCTGAGGCTTTTTATATCAAAAAGTTAGGCATCTTGGGGCGCCTGGGTAGCTCAGTCATTAAGCGTCTGCCTTCGGCTCAGGTCATGATCCCAGGGTCCTGGGATCGAGCCCCGCATCGGGCTCCCTGCTCAGCGGGAAGCCTGCTTCTCCCTCCTCCACTCCCCCTGCTTGTGTTCCCTCTCTCGCTGTGTCTCTCTCTGTCAAATAAATAAATAAAATCTTTAAAAAAAAAAAAAGTTAGGCATCTTATTCTTTAGGGGATTTCTGGCTGTTTTCATTTTGACAAGGGCTGTGGTTTGGGTTGTCTGATAATGGTAGGGGGGCTTGTCTTCGGTCTAGTCAGATGAGGCTGTGACCTAGTGGGGAATGATAGCCCCCCTCCCCATCTCACTCTTCCAACCTGCTCCCACCTATAATCCCACCTTTACAGCATCATCCTGAAGTTTAAGGCTTTGATCCCATGGCTCTAGGATGTGGAGGCTCCCCAACAAGGGGGAAAGGACACAGCTTAAAAAGATGGAGGTGCCAAAGAAAGACCCTTCCAACTCCATAATTTCTCCCAGAGTTAGCCCGGTTAGTGTCATAGAATAAAAAAATGTTCCAGGCTGAACGATCTTAGGGACAAGGTAATGAACCCCTACTTACAATAAAAGGAAACTGAGGCCCAGAGTGGAGAGGCCCACTGCCCAAGGACACTCAGCTGGTCAGCAGCAGTGGGTCTGCAGCTGGATTTCCTGATGTCCAGGCAGAAGGCTGCCCTTTGGAGACAATAGGCACGACTAGCAGCAATATTTAGGGGACAAATCACATTGAAATATGAAAACTGAAATGCTTGGAAAATTAGAGAAAAATTTCAAAATGGCTTTCTGACTCTGGGTAAACAGTAACCACATTTTTTTTGCCTGTTGGAGGCCTGGTTTTTAATCACTCCACAAGCAGTTTTCATTTCTGTAGTAAAATTGCTTGTGGTTCTATTTAATTTGTTTCTGCAGGAGCCAGCTTTGGTGAAGATCTCCGAGGAGCTAGCGGGCATTTTAGCACAGCACGCACAGCCAGTCAATGAGAAACGGTTCCCGACGTGGAGGAAATTCCTCCAAACATTTCTCAGTCAAGGTAAATAAGACTGTAAAGTTTCTACCGAGGATTGGTCCATACAACCTTGAATTCCAGTTTTGGGTCAACCTCGCGCTGATTTAAATACCTTGCATCTCTTGGGTTGGTTTACATAAGTGCCCCTATAAGCAGACTTTTTTCCCTCTTTTAAACTTTGTCTAAATATTTAACTTGCACTCAGCCTCTTACATAAATAGGAGCTGGCAGGATCCTGGCAGGATCCAGCGGGTGTATTTATCAAGGAACACATCCTAGCTCAGTGTATAGGAGAGCACCAGAAAGGACAGATGCATGGCTTGTTGGAAAGCATGGGGTGAGCGGTGTGGAGTGGGAGGGAGTAGCGAACACCAGGTCAATGAACTAGTCAAGCTACGGGTTGGATGGTCAGCCATCTAACAAGCATGATGTAAAGCAAGCATGGCAGACATAGCTCAAGATTCGGCCCCGTGTTTGCACCTCAGACTTCCCCTGACAGGTGGGCTTTGGAATCTGATGACCTGATTATGGAGCTCATCCCTGACCTTGAACAAGGTTCTAAAACTCTCGGAGGCCCAGTTCTCTCCCTTACCCTACCTCACGGGGTTGCTGGGAGGATTCAATGCAATACAGATGTGAACGTTTCTACCACGCAGCCTCAACATGGGTCCTTAATACATGTTCATTTCCCCTTTTCTTTTGTGAGACAGCAGAAATGGTCTCACCTCCAGTTCTGCAGGCAGAATTTCTAAGTAAGGGTCCTCCACTGTCCTTTTCATCCTCCTAATTCACCCTTTACCCTCTAAGGACATGAGGAGGTCTGTGGATGAGGGGCGGAATGAAGGGAGTGATGCTTGTCCCCAGTTGCAGAGGTCCCTGTGGGGCACATGCCCATGCAAGACTCCTCACTCTTAGGAGGTTACAACCTAAGGCAGATATTCTTACCTGCTTACCCACATGAAGGACACGAGGAGGCTAGTATAACAGGCCACAGAATATATCTATTCACACTCTATTCACCGCTGTCAGGTGATAATAAAAGTGATAATGTTACGGAACCTAGACTGGATCGCCCGACGGAAGAACCAAGTGGCACTTGGAGATCTTGGAGGATAGGAGGTTTACTTAACACAGGAGGGCTCAAAGGAGAGTGATCTCCAAAGGTCTGAACCCTGAGCACAAACAAGGGGGGTTAATTTATATACCTCTACTTCCGCATACTTGGCACTTCTGGCGTGTGAAGCGGGGCAGGGAGAAGGACCCGGAAGAGCCCCAGGGCAAGGACTGGGACTCTCTCTCGCTGGCTCGGTCGGGCATCTTAGGACACAGATTTCCCTTATCAATTATATTAGCACTAATATATGATAACATTGTAACATGATGTCAGATAAGAGCAACAGCAACCACACAGCGCTGATCACAGCACAGGGGAGATAACATGATGAGCACCAGGGAGTGTTTATCATGTGCCAGACACTATTCTAGGCATATGCACACTAATTTATTTGATCCCCCCCCCAAGAATCCTATCAGGTGGGTACCATTATCACCCTTGTTTTACAGAAGGGGAAACAGAGGTACAAAAGATTAAGTAACTCACCCCAAATCACCCTGTGAATACATAGCAGAGCCAATAAGAGGCTACCTCTGTGTTGTTCCGGGAGTCCTGGCAGGATCCAGCGGGTGTATTTATCAAGGAACACATCCTAGCTCAGTGTATAGGAGAGCACCAGAAAGGACAGATGCGTGGCTTGTTGGAAAGCATGGGGTGAGCGGTGTGGAGTGGGAGGGAGTAGCGAACACCAGGTCAATGAACTAGTCAAGCTACGGGTTGGATGGTCAGCCATCTAACAAGCATGATGTAAAGGGGTTCTTCACTGGTGCAGGGAGAAGGGGAGATGATGCATGATCTCCAGTGTGCTCTCAAATCTAAACTTGTGTGATTCTACAAATTTCCACATGCACCCACTGACAGAAAAGTAAAACTAACAAAGTCAGCCCCATATGCATAAATGGGAGAAAATAAGGTACCTACAACAAAAATGGTCAAGAATAAGGGATTCTTTTTGTTAGGAGAGGGAGACCCTGAAGATCTCCAGGTGCATCCAGGACAGGACTTAGGAGTTTCCAAATCTTCCAAGGTCAGCCTGCAGACCGTCCTCTAATCTCGTTATTGTCGTGGGAGCTTTGGGTAGCTTAGAAAGGGTTTTCCCAGCCACTGTCTCACCTGAGCTGTATAACCACAAGCTTAGGCTGTGCCTCGACCTCCTGCTCATCTCTACACTTTCTTCCTCTCTTTCAACCATGTTGTAAACACAGTAACTATTTATGGGAAGCACAACAAGCTTTATTAAGCCAATTTTATAGACAGAGAGAGAGGCTCAAAGCTAGGAAGTCACGAGGGCAAAACCACACAACAAATATGTAGTGAATGGGAACACAGTTAGACCCTACAATGCTAACACGTCTCAAAAACCCAGTTCTAGGAAGTCATGTGTTTCCAAACCTCTGCCTGGCTCTGAGCCCAATGCATACAGCAGGCCCTGCATAAATGCTCACTGAAGCCGGGCCATCCCCCCAGGTTTCCTGACTCTCCTGCCACATCTCTCACCACCTTCCACTCTTGCCTGTTTAATTTCCCTTCTGCTCTCTCAGGTGTGCTTATGGCTATAAAACGTGCTACACATTCAGTTTCTATCTTGTCACAGGACTATCATCAAAGGCAATATACTTTTTAAAAAGAGGAATTAATTGCTTTGAAAGGAAAAAAAGTTAAGAATGAAAAAGCCATGGTCATAATGCTGAGAGGACAGTACAAATAAGCTACTTTGAAGTAAAAAAACAAACAAACACACACACACACAAAAACAAAGATAAAACAAAACAAAAAAACTCAAGTAATCTTGTAAGTATAAAGGATAATGTGTTTCCACTGAGGCACAATCTTTCAAAATACAGGTGATGGATAAAGCCACAAAGTTAATTCACTCAGAGACGAAACTGGTATTTGTGTTTGTTTTTGTAGATTTGGTGTTTTGTTGCATTTACCTTGCTAATTTCCCAACAACTCATATTTAGGTGCAGCACACACTAGTAGGCCCCATTTAAAGAAAAGCACATCTCATCCTAACTAAATAGATAAATTAGTTTTCCTTCTGAAACTCAGCTTTCCTTAGGGCCGGCTCCAAACAAATTTATAGACACTTAAGGAAACTGCCTTTTGTATAAAGTAACAGATGGCTGCATTTGAGAACTGCTAAAATCTCAGGATCTAACCATATATACTGTTCAAAGCCTGTGGGCAGAGGTCATATCCTAGCAATTTTGTGAAATATGCACCAAGTTTATCTTAATACTCTCAGGCTCCAGAGGCTGCCCTGTCTGGGGAACACTTCGTTGTTTTTACTTTTAAGTTATGCTATCTTATTCTTTATAAATAATACTAAAAATTTTTTCTGTAAAAGGTGTGTATACAGTAAGATTTATGTTAGGCCTACAACAAAATATCAGGGCCATGTAAGTTTTGTGGACATCCCTAAGCTAACTCACAAAATTAGCCAGGGCTCATATTGTTGCTGTGGCTGAGCATCAGGTTTGCCTCTGTGATTTCTGTTATTCAGAGCAAAAGGTAAAGTATGATAAATTATAAAGCTCTCATTATCAGCAGGGACCCTTCTTCAAGAATGGCCGCATCTCCTGCACTCTATATTTAAAAAAATGCTTGACAGCTGGCGTTGTGTAGGAGTCCTTTGACATAATAGTCAGTGTTCTCTTATTCTTGATAAAAGTCCTAACCTGCTGAAACTTCAAAAAGCAGGGAAGCTAAACAGAAAGAGCACTTGTCAGGGTATAAACGCAGACGATGGGCAGTTCATTCCCCGCTGAGGGATTTGCCTATGGTCCTTAAGTCCATTGTTTATGTTATGAATAGGCACAACCTTGATGAATTTACGGTGTCTTTATGGTGAATGAAAACTGACATTCATTGAGTCCTAGTATATGCCAAGTACTGGAATAAATACTATAGACACAGTATCTCTAAGATTCACAACAATCTGGTGAGGTAGGTTTTATTATGCCCATTTTATAGATGATGAAAAAGGAAGTTCAAAGAACTGCAACTACTTGCCCAAAGTCTCACAAGACATGGCAGATGCAGGATCTGAGCTCACGTCCGTCTGCCAAAGCCTGGGCTTTTTCCTCTTGTGCTGAGTGGACACAATCTCATGAGCACATTTTCACCTACTCCATGCTTTTCCCACCAGGAGGCACGATGGAAGCGTTCCCACCTACAGAAAGCGTCACCAGCCTGACAGTGGACATGCTGATCGAGCCCAATGGAGAAATCAGAGTGCTGTCCACGGGGGACCAGCTTCATGCAGAAGGCCCCTTCATCTCTACTGGTACTACCATGCCTCAGACCTCGGTGGATCCCCAAGTTCTCAGTTCTTTGTGCCTCAAAATTGGAAATGCTTGTAAAATGAGAAATGTGGTTGGTTACTTTTCTATAGACCTGGTGACATTTATTGATCCAACCACCTTGGAACAGCAGGTAAGTTGATGCCACGTGAAATACTAAAATATAGGGCGCCTGGGTGGCTCAGATGGTTAAGCGTCTGCCTTCGGCTCGGGTCATGATCCCAGAGTCCTGGGATCGAGTCCCGCGTCGGGCTCCCTGCTCCTTGGGAGCCTGCTTCTCCCTCTGCCTCTCTCTTTCTCTGTCTCTCATGAATAAATAAATAAAATCTTTATAAAAAAAAAAAAAGAAATGCTAAAATATATAAAGACTCCATACTGTCTGTACCTGTACAACAGGGAGTACCAGGCAGTTGCTCAGATGCAGTGCTCCTCGGATGAGCTGCCTCTGTAAATTCAGCATTTATGGGGTCTGTGCCCAGGATCTTCTTGTTCGGGTACTGCTGGAGTTTCAGTGACTGCAACTCATCCCGCATAGCTCCGTTGATGGGTCCTGTGTCCTGCCCATGTCTTTTTTTTTTT